AATATTTTAAAAGTAGATTTAAACTTTATGTAAAAATCTTAGTTAAATATTCAATAAAGATAGAGGCATGGCCTCACTATTAATATTAAAAAAAAAAAAAAAAAAAACTAAATTGGTAATAAATTTATATCTTTGATTATAATTTAATAGTAAATATTTATTAATCAAAATAACTTCATAATCATTTAAAATTTTTATTATAGTTGCTAATTCATAATATTGTTCTTTTACTTTATTAAAATAACATTCAAGTTTTAATTTATCAGTGCTATTATTTATTAGATTTTGGGCAAAATTCATTGTATTTCTAATTATTGTAATAATTTTTTTTAATTTTAAGGGCAGTCCCACCTGTGTGTCTTTTTATTAGTATTAGTATAAGATTATATATTATATATAGGATATATTAATGAAAGTACAACTAGTTATATATATAACTTTAGTCATTATCTAATTAAAGGTTCCACTCATAGGTTACCTACTAGATGCCATACCTGAAACCTGCCTGTGAGTCCCCTATTTAAACTTTTTGATTTTAATACTTAACTATATATATATACAATGTATACTATCATAATTATGACAGAACAGATTAGAGCTATCTAATTACTATTTAAATCTAAGTCCTACCTTATTGGATGTTACTAAGTATTCATAGTTCTTTCGAATTTACTCTCGATGCAAACTTACTAAGTATGTACTAAAATTACCTCTTAGATTTATCTAATTTTAGTATATTCTGTATCTACTAGAACCAGTTTGGTGCCAAAAGTATTCGAATTTCAGTAAATCTATTTCTTTTTCATAGTTTTTTTTTATGTTCACTATATCACCTGCTAGTGTGCCTTCTCTCCATTTCTGGTATGTTTACCACTTCTCTCGCATCGAGCACCAACTCTCTATATCAGAAATCTTTTTTCTGAGAACTTTTTTATATTGATCTTCTAATCACATAGACTTAACCACAGGGCTTCACGTATATTTATATGCTTTCATAGATTACAGAGTTGCCTCCAGCTGAAATTGAACCATTGACCTTGTTTGTGGAAGGAGGGATGCTTAGACCACTAGGCTACGGAACCCCAACCCAATTATTGTAATATTTTGATTAACATTTTCAAGATATTCAATATATTTTTGAATAGTACTAATAAATTAATAAATTTGTATTATAAAAGATCTCCAAGTAATATTACTAGCCTATAGCTAATCTAATAATTCTTTAATAACATTAATATAAAGTTCTAATTTAGTTTGTTCTAATACTCCTTTTTTGTAATATGAACCTTTTTTATAAAATTGAATATTTTTATATAATATTAACTCTCTAATAAATTAGAAAAGTATAAACTACAATCAGAAAACTTAGAATAATGTTTATCAATATATCAAATAAGTGTAGTAAGTTTATTTAAAAATACTTCTTCTATTGTTACTTCATTTTCATTAAACATCTACAATTCATTTTATTTGAACTATTTATAAGATTATTAAATAACTGATTTTTCATATTATTGTTATCTTTTAGTAAAAGAAGTTTTCTTTCTTATGCACTATTCATTATTAAGCAAATACATTCTTATTATTACTAAATATATTTGATTAATTATTAGAAGGTTTAGTAAGATTACTAATAAAAAATTATATATAAGAAATATTTCACAAATCTGGCTTACAAGCATGTAAACTACCTTCTACTCCAAATACATAAAAATGATATTGATTGTTTTTAGAACAATGAACTTCAACTCTAGCTATTTCATTTAGCTTATACTTATTATCAGCTAAATATAACAGATCTTCAAATGTTTTACTACTTTCAATTTCAAATAAAGTTTTTGAAATAATTTTGAATAGTTTACAGAATTCTTGATTAACAGTGATAAACAAAAAAAGTAATATTCTTGAATGTATAGTTTGCAAACATACAATTAAATATTATATATGTATTTGTAATATTGGTATTGCTTATTTTTCTGAAATCATTTTCTTACTAGCTAAAATAGTTTGATTTTAATTTAAAATTGGCTAAGTATTAGAAAAATAAGTCTGAATAAAATTTATAGAAATACATATGGATATGATTAACATGTTTATATAATGGCAAACTTAGTATAAATACTATTTTCAAATGAGTATAACAAATAATTTTGTAAATTTAACAAATCTTATTGGATGTACAAAATTTATTTGTTACAATAATTAGAAAATAATAATACCAAGCATGTGCAGTAGAACAAATTGTATAGTACAAATTGAATTCTATGTTCATTTTCAAAATCTTCTGATCATAATATAATTTAATAAGTAGCTGCGTGATATTATCATGCTAAACTAGGAATGGATGAATATTAGCATTATTAAGAAATTGTTGGCCAACCAAATACAAAATAGTTATGAGTTATAATTTTGAATTCAGATAAATAAATATCAGGTATACAACTAAACACAGCATAACTATATTAATATAAGACACTACAATTTAAACAAACAAAAAATCTATTCACACTCTATACCATACATAGTTTAGAAATGTTCTTGGAAGATGATAATTATACAGACTAATGTGATAGGAAACAAAATGGAACATGAACAACTCATATTAAATACTTGAACCAATTAAACCAATAAATAATCACTAAACTTTAGAGTTGGGATCCATTTGGCTAAACATCCAGATATCCATAGATAGTACAGATATTTGGATGCCAAATTTTATATTCAGATCCCTACACTACTAAACTTAGACTAAGGGTGCTCTCAATGTGATTAGATAGCTATCAAGATTATGCATGAGTACTACGATTAATTCTGTAATTGCATTGTGCAGCTAAAACCGACTTCAAAATAAACCGTTAACAGCTCTGAAGACTATTTGGTGAAGGACAATAATAATAAAAAAAGAATTAATCGTCATTCACTTACAAAAACCTGTTAAAGCAATAAAAAATACTAACAAATTTGGAAGTATCATAATACATAATACAATATTGTGGCATCAAGATCTCGCTAAACCATACTCTACATACTTTGTACTTCATTCCTGGCATGTACATACAAACACCTTCAATTTTTAATAACCAGATATAGTATTGCATGTTGCATTTTGATAACTATCTTAAAAAAGAAATATTTAAAAAAATCTGCTAATCCGGTTGTACTGCTAGAACAAATATGATAAGATTCTAAATATTTGAAACTATTCAAATCTGTTTACATAGATATTATAGAGCATTTGATAGAACAATAAATAGGAACCGCTATAGTGCCTATCTACTCTTGTATAATTATAAATATCCTAATTTTAGTGTGGCGGCACATAGCTACTTTATAAATACTTTATACCATGTACAAAGTAATGAATCGAATTTATATATTGAATTTGATTTCTAAGTAACTATAATATTTAAAATTTTCGTTTTACCGGGGGCCATTGGGAGGAGGAGGAGGGGGGTGATGTTAACCGAAAAATTAACTTCGAACAGCCTAATACTCACTGTGAAAAATACCTGGGTACAATTAATAGGTTCATGATCCAGAAGATTGAATAATAATAAATAGATATCAGGCAGGCACTGCCTGATAACGGGTTTATCCGGCGGCTTATTATGATTTTCTGCCCAATAATTTTATTATTGGCAGATGCAAAATTTAAACTATTTTAACCTATTTTAAACTTTCGTTTCTGCCCAATAATTTTATTATCGGGCAGATAAATCATAGCAAGCTGCCAGATAACCGTGATTATTCTAGTCAGATATATATAATATTTATATTGAGTCCTTATTAAACTACTATTAAACTTTGTAAAATACCCCTATTATGGTATCCTCCCTCCACAATTAGTACCTGGGAGGATACTATTCAAGAAATTTGATGGTTGATTAAATAGTACCCGGGGTACTTTAGTCAGTGGCGTACGGTAACTACAAAATTAGAAGTTTAATGAATAAAACATGAGTTGATCTTAGCGTATATGCCGCTCTGTAATTAGGTATTTGGTAATTATGGGTATGTCGATAGCCCGGGTGGACAACCCGGATATCGAAGATATGTGCCTTGGTGGCCCGACTGAACAGCTCAGATATTAAGGAAAGAGGAGATAAAATAAAATAGGATAGTGACGATTCTAGGAATCGACTGTAGACCATGTGAACAACGAAGCGATATACCATATCGTGTTTTCCATAATTGTGTTTTGTATTTGTGTTTTTACCGTGGCAATCGAGTGACAAATACTAATTATGTACACTCGCCATTTTATCTTTTTAACCAACTAATTTAGTTTGTTTCATCAGTTTCTCTATTTTTATTTTTTGGGGAGTGAAGTCGAAACCTTGTTTCGACTTACACCAATGGCGAAGCCTCTAGGTTTCGCCTAACAACTCTAGCTAAATAGATTACTAATAATTTTGTAACACAAATTCTACCTTGCTTTAGACGATCCCCCCTTATTCGGACTGTATTACGGGAAATAATCAATAACAATAATTACACGGCGTTCCAACTTTACGCAAAAAAAATTTGTATACATGTTTTGTCTATTAAAACCATTGAACTTATTTGTATTTACTCTAGAACAAAATAATAGAAAAACAAATATGTAAGTACAAGTTTTGAATTTAAAATTAAATATGCTCATGGATATAATATTGCTCTCAAAATATTTTATCATTTTATTTCGTTTATCATTCATAACAGAAATGCAATTCCTGAAAAAAAAAGCAATATATATTTGTTGCATAATACTTGTATTCGGCTTCTTATTGCTAGTGAGAATAAAACCTGTTGTTCATGAACCTATTAAAATTGATCATACGGCAAACTTAGTAAGTAAGCTTAAGATAAAGCCCACCACCCTCACGGAATGGAAAAAAAGACATTACATGACAGCCTATCTTAATAAAGGCCGGAAAGTGAGAATATATATAACTAGAGGTGAATGGTATATAGACCAAGATTTTCTAAGCCTCGAATATAATCATGACGAAACCTTAGCAAATTGCGATATACCATGTATTTGGAAGGCAAAGGATATAGAAAATTTAACGTCCAAAGAGCTTAAAAGTGTTGATGCACTTTTTTGTGTTAATCAACCAGGCTTGCCAGCAAAGAAAGCATGGAACGGACAAAAGTTCATACAATATACTTTAGAACCTATGACTCATTGTCCAGAATGTCACGATAAAAACCACTTGTTTGATATCCGCGCAACTTATGATGAAAATTCTGATATACCTACGAGTTATGTTAGAATGGACTCCAGAAAATGGAAATTAGTACCTCCTTTTAATTTAAAAGATCTCTCACAGGATTCACCACTTGTCTCGTTTGTCAATTCACATTGGACTAAATTTAGGAAAGATTTTGTTCAAAATCTCATGAACTATATTTCTGTCGCATCCTTCGGCGGAATCTATCAGACCACCGATTGGGATATTCATCCTGAATGTGAAGGCTTAAACGACCTCTTTGATCTAAAAAATTGTGTCATCTCTAAATATCCTTTTTATCTTGCAATTGAAAATTGCCAAGAAAAAGATTACTCTACTGAAAAGCTTTGGGATACGTTTAATTTGGGTGTCGTTCCTGTTATATGGGGTGCGCCTAATACTCGTTCATACTTACCACATCCTAAATCCGCTATTTTCATTGAAGACTTTGAGAATGCTAAAGCTCTTGCAAATTATTTGAAATATCTAGTTAAAAATGAGACTGCATATTTAGAATATCATGAGTGGCGTACTATGAAATCGTCCGATAGATTTGAGATGAAATCGTACATGAGCATGCATAATCTTGAATGTAACGTTTGCAGAGAAGTTGCTAGGTTGAAGATTGTTGAGGGATATAATAGTATTAATACATGACTTAGATAATACTATCTTGTAAACTGTAATAAAAATAGAAAACGTCGTTTTTTTATGTTTCCGGCTAAAAAGGAAGTATCTATACAAAAGTGCAAACTTCAATCAATACACTTAACTACTTGATTAAAATTTTGCATATACAATAAAAAGGATTTGTAAATTGAAGTGGCTTAGTTTTGAATTTGAAGCAGCCAATAACGGGAGTTATTCGTAAGAATACTCCATTATCTGGCTAAGAAATACTAGGAACGGAGTTTGTACAACGTACAATGTTTACATGGCCTGTACAAAGTTTGGGATCTGATTGGATGATGATCCTTGTGACTTTGTGTAGAACACCGAACAATGCTAAAAAAAAGAAGCGATATGGAGTGCAACCGGTTTAATCTAGCTTACACAAACCTATTGATATGGGCTAGATAATTGGGGAACGACACCACTAAGGAAGAATGAATGCAACGAATTGTCGCTTCGGAATCATTGATGTCGCATAATGTCACTCAAAAGCAGGTGAGGCAGTTTCAATTTGGCACCGGTCAAAGGTAGCTTTTGAGAGCATTACAAAGAGGATTCGAATGTAATGTAAATGGTTAAAGGAATGTATTTAATTTTTAGTTTGGAACTTTATTAAATTTTCTTTATTTATTATTAAGACGGTCTATCTATAGGGTACAAGGGCTGTAAGGCCGAAGGTCTAATATAAATGGGATTTAGGAAAAGTGGTAGTTCAGTCTATTTACAAGAGTGGAAATTTCAATTCATTTTATAAGAATTACCAGAGAAAAAAAGAGAATTTCAAACATGACTTGGGTATCTTTTTTCTTATTAACATAAGCCATTTTACTCTTATTTGCTAACATTTTATCATTTTTCTTATAATTCATTCATCATTATTTTAGAATTTTTTATTGAATTTTTTATTTCTTTTATGATTACACAAGATCTAACATATGATGATGCATTAGTATGGTTATAGACTTTATCTGTTAAGATAATATTATCTTGATAGATGTATTCAAAATTAAGTAGATGGTTTTTTCTTAAATATAATTAGTGCTGTTACTAAATGAAAACCTGTTTTATCCTAAGTTATAGTTATTGTGTATGACAGTTTTCATAATGTGTTTGCATAGGTTATTCATGTTTGTTTTTTATAGTCTTGGAATCAGATTTACTCATAATATTATGTAGATATTTATTTGTGTATGTGCATGCATTTTCTTGTTTTTTAATTATTTAATTTCTGATCTTAGACAAAACTAATTTGATTTGGTAATTTATATAATCTCTTTTCTTTTTATAGTAAAAAAAAAATTTGGAAATAACATAAGATTTACTGATTATTTTAAAAAATTTTTATATTAAATAAAATATTTCAAAAAAAATTTTAAAAATTTTACTATACAAACTTTTTGAAAAATTACTTACTTTTTTTTAAAATAGAAATGTAATATAAACCATCAAATTAAATTAGTATAGTTTTATCAGTTTTGATTATTGTTGGGTTGAAAGACTGTAACTCAGTTGTTTTACAATTCAAAATCTTGTATAATGTATAGTATAAAAAAGGATATTAGATTTGACTAGTAAGTAATTAAGGTTTTTAGTTACCTGGATTTAATGAAGGTTAATAGAATAAGTCACATAAACAAAAACTTGAATAAGCAATAATGTTTATAAAGGTTTACAGAATTTATACTGTATATAGTATTAGAGTTTTATTATAAATAATACAATGTATTTGGACTTGTTATTTTACTAAAGCAAATAAGACATATCTGTTCTTAGAGCAATAATGCATTTTAATTATAATTATATTTTAATTATAATTAATTTTAATTACATAAACTCTATTTTTATACTTTTTTTATTTAATTCAATTTTTTTAATTTATTTATCTAAACTCTTATATATATTAAATTTTTCTTTATCATTAAATTTTTTTTTCTATTAAATTTTACTTTCTTAATATATTTAATAAATTACATTAAGAGAATGGTAATCCTAGTGTAGTAGTTGGATTGTTATTTTCTAATCAATAGGTCCAAAATTCAAATTCTACTAATAGCAAAATTTTGAATAATAATCATATTTTAGTAACTTGAACAAGATATTTGAAGTTGTAACTCTGTAATTCTGATTATATTAAGACTAACTTTGAGAGTGTACAATGTTATATAAATAAATCTGAAAAATATACTTTATAAGAACTCTGTTAGAAAATTTCAAGTAAAAAAATAGTACAATTTTTAATAATACTGAAATTGGAAGTTACAGCAGTCAGTTGTTTTACAATTCTATTTCTTGTATAATCTATAGTTGGCTTAGTCAAAAAGAGACATTTTTAGATTTGATCAATGGTTTGGGTCTGTAGATAAGTATTTCTTCTTCACTTGTCTTGCTTTTCCTTATTTGAATTGTATACTAACTTTAATTATTAATTATCTTACTACTTTAGATAATTGGATAACATATACAAAATCAACTATTATACTTCTTCAAATAGTTGAACTCAAGTAACTACAGCTAATTCTGGTACTTTAGAATACAACAGCTGAATGGGAATTTAACAAGACTATGAATAACAATAGCTAATTTGAAGAATTGGGTTTTATAATCTGAAGATTTAGCAATTAGTTAATATATTAAAGAAAATGTTTATATATTTATTAATATATAAGAGATTAATTATTATTTTAATAAAGCAAATTATCTCTCTGTCTCCTTAGAGCCTTTACAGTCTTTATTTATAAGAATATTTTACTATATACATTTTCTTGGTCTATATTAATGTTATCTAAAACTATAATAATTATGACTACATTAGTGTTTTTTTTATTATCGATTACATTACTTACTTCACTCTTTTCATCAAAAAGAACTTTTCTAAAATTTTGGTCCTTTCTATCAATTCTGATTTTTCTAGCTGAATTATCCTTATTTGGATAGTTATATTACATAGCATATGACTTAGCCAGATAACAATACTATCTATAAAAATCTTGATTCAGAAAAGAAAATTTTGAGCAGGTAATCTGTATAGCAAGAATCTTTAGATAAAAAAAATTTACTAATCTGGCTATTAGTTGATCCAAACATGAAATTACATTATATAGAGCTTACTTGATTAGTAGTATAAAAGGACTTGCAAAAGTAAACAAGACACTGTAAGATTGTAAAAAAGGATATTAAGATTGTATAAACTTTATAGAGATATAGCAGTTTAATAATTAGTTCTGATTGCAAGTATTAGTTTAGTTACAATAAGTTTAGATCAATTATAAATAGAAATACAAAAGATTTATTTTAAAAATAAATTAGTTCTAAGATTAAAATGAGGATTTGAGCATGACTCAGTAAAGTTGACATAATTTATAGATTCAGAAGATTTAAATGAAATATCTAAGATAGGATGTTAGATATAGTAACTAATAATAAACCTTTGAATAAACTCTTTAAATAAGCAATATAGAAAAATTATACATATAACAAGTTGTATACTCTTTTTATAATAGTTCTTATAAAACTATGTTATCTAAAAAGTGCTAATAAAGCAAAAGACCAAAGAGATTACCTTAATATCAAAACTAAATAAATTACATTAATGTAATTAAAAACTAAAATATCTATAGTAAAAAATTAATTATTATATCCACTTTTATATAATGTTACAACATCTTATTTTTTTTATATTATTAAATCTAATACTATTATATACATTGCAAAGTTTATAAAAAAATATTAATATATTTAAATTAAATTTGATAAATATAACAAATAAAATTAATTTTTATTTTTGCTTATATAGAAAAAAAGTGTATTGTTTTATAATAAATAAAGTGAATTTAAAATTTTATTTGTTTTTTGCAATCTTGCTACTATACATCACATGTTTAGTAATTTTTTTTTTATTATATATAGTACATTTAGTATATACAGTATATATAAAGTATATTTAGTAATTTAATTAGCTAATATAAAGACAATTGTAAATATATAATATTTTATTGAATATACTATATTGTATTTAAATTTAAAATATAACAGAAACAGAATAATAAAATTATAAAGTATATGGCTTATATAATATTCATTAGCTAAATTTTTTAATATAAAAGACCAATATATAGAAGATAGTTAGGAAATTTTTAATTATAAGAAAAAACTCTTTTTGCAAATCAATTGCACAAAAAAATAACTAAAAAATTATTAATCTAAAAACACTTATAACTATTTATTTATTAAAACAACTTGTCCTAGTATCTTAAGTAACCTTATTAAGCTAAGCATTTTATATATATTTTGCAAATATTATATTTCTAACTTTTAAACTCATTAAGAAAACTGTAATAATAGTCTTTGGATTTCAGTTTCAATAATTTAAAATTTTTGCAGATTCTACTGCAATACTCTATTTTATACTTTTAATTAAAGCTATAGAAAACACTTGCCTAGTTAAAAAAAACTCTAAATGAAGATTTGTAACCCAATATTGACTAAATTATAACTAAATTTATCTTTTATTCTCTTGTAAAATTTTTTTATTTATTTTTTGTCTCTACTTATTTTTTTTTTCCCTTATATGTTTTTCATATAAATCATACTTTCATTTTCTAATTCATACTTTATTAATTTATACAAAAAAATTTTATAATCTATCTATTAATAAAAATTTATTAAATATAATTTATTTATTTTCATATTTGGGTTTTATTAATAATATACAATAAACTATACTACAAATCTTATTTGTGTCTAGTATTCAAGCCACATCAGTGATTCTATAAAGGTTTTGTTATTCAAAATACTTTGTATGTAATTTTATCAATAAAAATACTTAAAATTTTATTAAAGAAATCTTGTCAGGTTTTAAATAATTTTTAAAAATATATAGATTTAAAAATAAAAATATATTAAAAATAGAAGCTTAGTTCATTTATAAGGCTTACTAATTTATCTGGAAGATTCTAGCATATAATTAATAATAAATAAAGATAAAA